CCACAAACAAAAAAACGAAAATTTTTGTAATTTTTTGCCACTGGGTTCAGTCATCTCAACCAATCTCTTACCTTACTAGTTTCTTCATCATAATCAAACAAAACCCACAAACAAAAAAAAAAAAAAAGAAATTTTTTCTAATGTTTTGCCACTGGTTCAATGGAACCCAGTCGCTAGGTTCGAAGGAACCCAGTGCATGGGTTCCATCGAACCCAGGCGTAGGTTCGAAGGAACTTGAGCTTGGGTTCCTCGAACCCAGTGCCTCGATTCCAAAGAACCCAAGCGTGTTGGGTTCCCACGAACCCAGCGCCTGGGTTCCCACAAACCCAACGCCTAGGTTCGATTGATCGATTTCGAGGGCAGAGAGAAAATGAAAGAGAAGAAGAAAAAAATAAGAAAGAATTTTAATTTTTTTATCACATTATTTTTTTTCCACGCCATTATTTTGTTCTCACGTTGTAATTCCACGTGTTTTAAAAATGGACATGTCATCATGTAACAGTAAATTAACAGGACACATAACAAGAATTTTAACGGAATGACCAAATTGAGGTTAAAACGGTAAACAGTAGGAACTAAATCAGGGATTCTTTTAGTTTAGGGACCAAATCAAGGGTCCGTACAATAGTTCAAGGACCAAAATGGGGTTTTAACCTAATTTTTTTGTACTATCTTTTGGTATAGTCTGATATATTATTTAAATGATTGGTTCTTTTTATTTACGTATGATTCATGATATTAAATATATTTACTTATTTAATAACATATAAAAATTATATCAAAAAGTAATATAAAAATATTGTTTCTATAGTACCACCTGGTTAATAAGCACTCATACGGGAAAGTTTTTTTAATGGAGTACATTTTTAATTTTGAATAAATCAACGCAAAAAGGAAAATTAGAAGGTTCTAATAAAAAAAAATAATTTTGAGATGATCTTTCTATGTTATCTTTTTATACAATTTTATGTGCCGATTATTCATTTAAAATGTCAACTATTCATTTAAAACGTAAATGTTTTTGTAAGTTAAACCAAGGTCTAACTTAATTTTAATTCTGGCAAAAAGGTGAGAACCTTTTATTTTTGGCAACAAACACAAAAAACGCTAGAGGAAGGGCTTGAACCTTCGACCTTGTGGTTAACAGCCACACGCTCTAACCAACTGAGCTACTCCAGCTAATTGTCCAGAAAGGATCTGATTTAATTCACTTTAATATAATTAATTTAAACCAGATAAGTAAGGTCTCTCCGTTTCTTTAGGCAAGTCGGCAGATGCAGAGAAAACTCTGGAAGGTGATAAACCTCAATATGGTACCTGCAAATCCCTACTACATTCTGGTCTAGCTGCATCTCTGCGTGTAAATATTCGAGCAGTAAGTTATGTTTTCTCTGTAATTTAGCAATCTCTATGCTTCGGTGTTGTTCCATACTATAAGTGGAAGGATCAAAATGCAATCATGTTTCATAAAGAGACTTTTCATAAAGAAAATTGTGTTTATTATTAGCCTAAGCATGATTTCTACTGCCTTTTTATCAAACAATATAATGTCTATTGTCTTGGTATTTCATACTTGCATCTTGCTACAGACCGACCACGTTAAAGTTAAATATGCAATAACACCACACTAAATTCTCATTCCATTTTGCTTGGTGGCAGTTTTTTGTGTGCATGACTTCCTGAGCTTTGGAAATGTTCTTCGGAACTTCAGGTAGTACAATATGCTTCAGATGCTGGCAATGGTAAAATTGCTTTCAATGATGTCGATCAATGTTTTGAGGTAGAACAGCTGCATTCCAGCTGGTATAATAATAAAAGTGCTGCTTTAATCATTTTTCCTTATCTTGCCATAAAAAATTGTTATGATAAATGTTTTCATCTAATGTACAAACTGTTTTACAAGCTTCTGAGAGCAGTAATCTTCGTGCTCCCCCACTGGAGCCCTGGAGGAACTTGATTCCTTGCTTCTGCATGCATCAAGAAATGATCAACAAGCCTCAGTGAAACCAATGAAGGCAAATATGAGCACTGCCCTTAGTGCACTAGATGATTATAATTATATTGTAACATGTCTATTTCTCTTCCACGAGCTTAAACTGTTTTTTAACTTGGAACCGTTGTTCCCTCTTGCCTCCTGTTAACTCTGCCGTGATATAATACCATACCGGTAAATCTTAATGTCAGTAATTTTTAGAGTCTCAGTTTTCTAATGTCTTCTGAGCAGAATCTAAAGAAAATTGTGCATAAATACGCTGTTAAGAGAAGCGTTCAAGTGGAAGGGAAGTTGAGTCCAAAATTTCATTATCTCCAACAGCAAGACAAGGATAAAATAATAATATAATAAGAACCAGCTTTAGAACAATTTATTATTCGTTACACGAGGATGCAGCTACATCTGGTGCCTATATATACCCAAAACAAGCACCAGTATTGGAACAGATGATTAAACATTTACAAATGGAACAAATCACAGTAATAATACCAAGCCTGTTTGATGCTAACAATCGAGTTACAACCACTCTACAAGTGAAGATTCAGCATCCCATTATGCAGGAGACAAGCTGCTGAATATACGCTTCAGACTTGGATACGATGCTCGTAACTTCCCCAAGCTCACGGAACATATCTGTCATTAGTCATCACGTCAACAAATGTAATGATTTTTACACTACAAATTTCTTTTCAATAAAATCTCAAACAGCAGAGATAATAAACAAATATACAAAGCAACAAGTGTTGCTGCTCAGAAAGTCTTTTTAGAATAAACATCCACCTATGAGCTGGATGAGAAAAAGGCCAGATAGGAATCGAAAACTGAAAGCAAAACAAGTATCCGTCTCACCTTTGGACAAAAGCGGACATCAAGAGTCTCGAGCATGTAACAATGTGATATGGCAGTGCCAACTGCTCCATCATCGATATTGCAAGACTTAAATGACCAAGTTTGCAACAAAAATAAGAAATCAGCATCAGATCAGCTGAAGTTTGTGGGTCATAAAATTAACTTGAGGATGAAAGCCATTTATAGAAAAAAAAGAATTAAATTTCTGACAGAAGAGTGAAAAGGTATGGCAACATGATAAGAGGACTGGAAAGCAAATTATTTTTAGAATACGTGACTCTTGCAGACAGAGAAGTATGAATAACAGATATACATTGAAGTGATTGAACAAACAAATTATTGCTGATCTTCATCTACATCGAACTTATCTTCAATTCTGCATTATCATTAACATACCATCTAATTTGAGGCTTCTTAGATCCCACCAAAGGTATCACAATAACATCCCAAATATATAAATTGTAAATACCTTCTTAACCACCCACTAAATAAATCATGAAACTTCATCAAGTTTATCCCTATATTGAGCTTCTCACTCAAATAACAAAAAATCACTCACAGAAACCTAAAAAGGACATCTGAGCATTTCATTATTAATGTGACAACCAGCCAAGAAAAAGAATGCCTAAACATGTCTACCTTGAAGACAGAAAACACATACCTGAAGAAAGAGACTTGTCAATCTAGGACAATCAAGTTTCAAAACTTCCAAAGAGCAACAATTGCTGGAAACACGCAAACATGAAACATATTACCATACATGATAGGATGTGATAAAGAAAGAAATGTTAAACAAATCAAGGCAAACATGGATACCTTAAATTAAGAATAGATAAGTTGAGACACGCAAGATCAACTTCCTTCAAGTTTACTGACAGAGAAAGATTTAATGATGACAAGAGCAAACAACGTGCTGCTGGTGGAATGAGGACTTTCCTAATATTTGGACAGCCCACACAGTTAAGGTTCTGCAGCAACCGGTTGGCATGCTCTATTCGTTCGGTGATATTCACAGGGGAAAACAGCTCAGGACCACCACTAGAACCCCAATTCAGGTCATGCATATTGACACAACCATTCAAGCTCACATGAGTTAGGTGAGTACAATAAGCAAGAAGTTCCTCTATGGCAGATTGACAGAGGGTACCATAAGACAAGTCCAATTCTTGGAGTGCTGGCAGAGCACCTTCCTTGTAAAGGGGCTCCAGCGATGAGTCAGCCAAATATTTGCATGCTTGTAACTTCAACACCTTAATAATAGTGATGATAATATATGTTAAAAATACAAAAATATAAGAGAATGAAAATATGCAGAAAGCTCAAAGGGGAGCAGAAACTCTTTAGAAAAAAAATTCAGGCATGTAAAAGTTTACAATACACCCATCTCGTAATACTCCTTCAACATGCTAAAACACCAGCATGCCACAAGTAAAAAGTCTGGCTTATATCCATGATTTTTAAAGATTACCTTAAGTTGCAAACAAGACTGAAAGACAGGCTGCAAATTCATCAGGAAGGTGTATGATAAATCAAGTGTTGTCAGATTTGGAAGATAGTCCAAAGAGTACAGTCCATCAGAACTGATAGATGGGCAAGACATCAATATCAATGACTCGATCAGTTGGCAAGAAGATGTTGTTGCAGACAAGCAATCATCCTTGAGTTGGCTGCATAAAAATTAAATTGAAGTCTGAGTAACTATCTATTAACAAGGGTAAGGAAACCTCAAAGAAACAAAGCAAACAGAACACAACCTGCAGAAGGAAGCATCCAGAGTTGTTAAGTAAGGAGAATTTATGGATGCTTCAGATAAAACACCACATCCTTTCAACTCAAGGGAGACCATAAATGGTGCATCGATTATAAGTTCATACAACTTGGGGCATATTCCAAGATTAAGTGATTGAAGAGCAACCTGAGAATGGCAAGAATCTCCCATTATGGACATAGCAATGAAGTTGTATGCATCAGCTAGTTGATGAAAATAAATTGAGGCATATGGATTCCATAACACCATAGCAATCATAGTCACTCTAACTTACAGGGGAAAATGATGCTCTTTCAAGATGATCACAACCATCTAAGCAAACTTTCTCAAGATGAGGGCACGCAAGCTCCAAAGCAGTGATAGCACGGCAACCAACAAGGGAAAGATTGACTAAGGATGTGCTGCAGAATCGAATTGCTGTCAAGCTCTGCCAAAATTTACACCAAGAGATTCAGTCCAAAAACATGAGAAAATCATGCGTAATGAACTACTTAGAATGACACAATATCCAATGTACAACAAAAGCTGTACTCAGGAAGCAGAGACTTTTCTCATGACATGGCCAAAAGAATGATCAAGGCTAACATCATATCAAATGGGAATAGCCTCTATCCAAGAATATGCAGGAGCAACAACTTAAACTTGTCACGAACCTCACAGTTATCAAGAACTAAGGACTTGAGCACAGGGCAACCACCACCATCGTTAAAAACTTCACAAATGGAATTGGTCAAAGATTCGCATTCTGTGAGGTCTACTTCTTGCAAAGAATGGCATTGCAATGCCAAAGATGTTAAGTTTTCCTGCTTTCGCAGTGCTAATTTCTGCATATTCATGACACCACTGTTTAAGATTCCAACTCTCACATATGATCCAGGGAAAGGTAAACATAAGATATAATATTCATAAAGAAAGCATACTTGAAGAAAACTTGAATTGATGCTAATACGCTGGAGTGCAGAACAATTGGAAACTATTACCGATGATAGCCTCACAGTTCGTAAATTTAAATCAGTAAACCTGCAGGAAAAAAAAAAAAAAAAAAAAA